GTGCGATATGGATTGGACTAGTAGCACATGAATTGTTCGTGCGGTGGTGATTATTGGCACGTGAGTTATACGTGCGGTTGTGACTATTGGCACGTGAGTTATCCTTACGGTTATGATTATTGGCATGTGAGTTGTCTGTGCGGTTGAGATATTATTGGCGCGTGAGTTTTCCACGCGGTTGAGATATGATAGCACGTGAGTTGTCCGTGCGGATTCGAGATATTATTATTATTAAAACATGAGTTGTCCGTGCAGTTGTTATTATTGGCACATGATTTGTCTGTGCAGCACGTGAGTTGTCCGTGCAGCGTGTGAATTAGGATCTATCCCCTAGGGTGACCCTCTCATGTTTCTGTCTCGATAGTGTACACACGGTATGAGGAAAACTGGCCAGTGTTTGATTTGGTTATTGCATTTCTTTACTTGTAATTTCTTGGTTGTTTACCTGTTTTATTCGTATATCTTCTTTATATGCTAGATCAGGAAAGTTTACATGTCTTGTTTTGCATATCTTTTCTATATGCTGGATCCTTAACTGAGCAGAGTATGTCACATTATCTTGTGCACCAAGGTGGCTTTATATATAATTCATGACTTGATCATATTATTTCTATGTACTTGTGAGATTTATGAGCTGAAGAAGTTATTAGCGAGTATCATTGATAATTCTTGCCTCTATTACCTCGCCGAGGTTAGTTATAATACTTGTTGAGTACATGGGGTCGGTTGTACTCATACTATACTCTGCACTTAATTGTGCAGATCCAGGTATTGGACCGAGCCATGAGTAGTTGTGATTCATTGCTGAGGATTAGTAAAGAGACGAGGTAGAGCTACATTTCGACTGCAGTCTTTGGCATCTCTTTTCATTTATGTGATGTTGCTTTCACTTCAGACAATATTTTACTTTATATTTTAGACTTGTATTTCCATTTTAGAGCTCATGACTCTGGATTTACCAGTTCTGGGGGATTATTATGTATCAATGCAGTTATTTTATGTTATTGGCTTTAGACTTGTATTGCTTCCATTATTTATGTATTTATGTTCCGTTTTTCTATGATTTGCTTGCCTAGCAAGTCGGTTAGGCGCCATCACGACCGATTGGTGGTTTTGGGTGATGATATCATATATGTAACTTCCATTTTTTTTCCTAAGCGTTTAGGAAACACCTTATTTATGAATCTCTAATAAGTGGCTCTTGCATTCTTAAGTCTGAAAGACATTACTTTGTAGAAATACATGCCTTGTTCGATGATACATGTGATATTTTCTTGGTCATCCAGATGCATTAGTATTTGATTATATTTGGAGAAGCGTCCATAAAGCTAAGTAGTTCATAACCGGCCATAGCATCAACCATTTAGTCAATATGCAATAGGAGAAATGGGTCTTTAGGTTAGGCTTTATTTTCATTAGTAATCTATACATACCATTTTCCATTCTTTTTATGAACCACAACTATATTATCTAGCCAATTAGGATCGTGTACCTCTTAGACGGACCCATTGTCAATAAGCTTCTGGACCTTCTCGTTCAGTATTTGATTCCTCGAAGGGCCATCTTTGTCCATTTTTTTAGATTGGAGGGTAGGCTGGGGCGACGTTCAACTTATGTGTTATCATATAGGGATCTACCCCAACCATATCTGCATTAGACTAGGTGTAACAATAGATACAATATGTTAGGAATTGAATTAGCTTATCTTTCAAGTCGTTGTGGAGATCTTTCCCTTTGTAGACTTTCTTCTTTGCATCGTCTAGATCCAAGTTGATTATCTCAAGGTCATCTTCATCCAGTTTGTCCAATTAGGATGCGTCGTACATTTGTAATTGCTATTTGATAGCATTTCCGATGTTACATAGCTTGAGGGTCACTGCGCAACATTCATGGGCGGCATGTTGCTCGCCTCGAAGCTCTCAAACTCCCTAAGGGGTCTTGAACTAATCACTTGATGATAGGTCGAGGGAACTACTTGTATGTCATAGATACATGTCCTTCTGATGATGTAGGTCAATGGCTAGTCCATCACTCGGTATGCTATTAAAAGGTTTACTCCTGCTGCATGTGCGACGAAAATTATTTCATCGAGCGAGTAGTCTCTTGACTCGTTGAATCATACCAGAGCATAGAATTGCGAACCATTTACGATGCTAGCCTTATTTCCTTAATGAATATACATCAAGATAATGTTGATTGAACTAGCTGGATCCACGAGAATACATTTAATAGCATAATTGACAATATGTAAATTGATTACCAATGCATCATGATATGGATTGGCTATTCCTTCATCTTTCTTATTTTAGAAGGTGATTTCATCCATCGGAGAACTTTCTCGCTTCTTGTTGGTTAGAGGCTGCAACAATCAATCCTCTCACGCATGTCTATGGATGAGAAAATAGGTTATCTCGCTTACTTCTGATTCCACAATGACACAATTAATAGTACGAGCTACTAGTGGGGAATCAGATATATAGTTGTTGCTTAGCTTTCGTTTAGGTTGCTTCCCTTCACCCATACAAAGATGGGTAAGGCTCCCTTTGCTGATTAATTCTGCCACCTCCAAGTGAGAGGATTTACATTCTACGTGTCATAATTAGTCCAATTCGCATAAGTCATGTTCTTGACAATTTGGCTAGGCTTTGTTCAAGTTATACTAGGGTACTGATGTCTAAGTATCGTAACTTCTCTACTACTTTGGTGTGGGGTCGCATGTACCCCAAGGCTTTAGATTAAACTCTCAAGTTCGTCTTAAGCTCATTTTAATTAGAGATTTTTCTTGAGCTTTATACTAAGTGGCCAAGGTTACTTTGTAAACTCTAATTATTCTTTAAATTATGCACTCGCGTGAGGTTCTTTACCACTAGTAAAGAGACTAGATGAGCTTATTGCACCTTATATACTCCAAAATACAAATAGCCAATGAAATCAAATAGAGTGATCTAACCCAATTGGGTCAATAGAAATGACGCTAGGTAGCAGGTTGGAGCACCCTATCTTAAAAGTGTCTAATTTTTTAAAAAAACTACTTAAAGTTTAGCCAGTTTTTACAAATTTCAACTGCTCCCAATGTTTGAAGTTTCAAACTTTAAACATGCGATGTCAACATCAGATCTGACGAAGTTGATTATAAGGCAGCTAAACTGTATGAACTTTATAAGTTATAGAATTACACATAAGTACAATTCATACACATATATTGCAATTAGATAGCCCAGTTACAAGTTTACAAACTTATAGCCCAAAGATAAAAGGTTAAGGTCCGAAAAAAGCTTTTTTACACCACCAACTACTGCTATTATTCCTTCTTCATAAATTCCTACGCTTCGCACAGATTCCAATTGAAACAATCAACTTCAATGGAGGCATTTATTTTCTGAAAACACGTAAGGCTTTTATATTTGAATTTGCTTTTCATAATGTAAAATTATGTAGAAGTGGAAGCAGTAGAAACATCTACAATTCTAGAGGAGACTTAAACTATTTAGATGATAAAATGAGAATAGTGATATATTTTAGAACCATTAATGTAATTGAAGGATCTATGTCAAATCTTGTATTTGTTTCTTCCCCAAGTGTCAAATGGTAGAAATAAAAAAAAAATTAAAAAAAAAATTGCTGCAAGTTTGTAATTTGGCAGAAAAAAACAAATAAATTGATTTTATACATAGATTTTCCGAGAAAAAGTAAGAATAAATACAAACATTTCAATTTTAGTTTTAATTGTACATCTACATTATATATATAATAATGTATAACTTTATATATGAAATATATAATAATGTATATATATAAAAAAACAAGACGAAGAAGAAGAGGAGGAGAAGAAAGTATCAAACTTTCATGGAGGTTAATTATACATTAACAATATATATATATATATACACACACACAATATTGTACAATTAAAAAAAATATATTTATATAACATTATATACAAATATACATACTTATACATATTTATACACAAATATATACACATATACATATTTATACACAATTATACATAATATATACAATATTGTATAAGTGTGTATAAATACCAATTATATAAAATTTAAACTAGAAAACACCTTATGTCCATCACCACACCTCTATTTAACACCAAAAATTTGCCTCACCAATTAATAATACCATTATTAATCAACACCCATCCAAATTGAAGCATGAAGTCACAGTGTTATTCGAATAAAAAAAATTCAAAACATTCGAGTCGATTTTTTAGAGAACCCAGCAGTAGAATCGAAAATTTTCCATCCAAAATTCTTCACACAATTGAGTTTAATGCACAGGAACGCCCATGGCCCATATCATGGAGCTTTGAGCTTCAACGAAGATGGCTTTTTCAGATCTAAAAGTACAATTCAAATTCAAAGGATACAACTTGTATGGTGTGACAAAGAAAAAAAAAATGAAATAGCTAAGGAAATATTTTCTATGAAAGGATAGGAACAGAGAGTAATGGAAGTCGATGAAAAGAGAAGGGTTCTAGTGGAGAAGATGATGGGAAGAGGAGGCAGCGAAGAAGACGAGGGAAAAGAGGGAGAGCCTTTTTATCATTTGTTTTTTCTTGTTAGCAATTATTAAGGCTAAAGGGTGAAATAATTTTTACATATCATGTACAATGTGGGCTAGTTTTGGTAGCATTTAAAAATATAGGCCAATTTTGGTGGCATCATGGTATCAATTGTATTTGAGCGTAATTTTTCCTAAGTTATAATTATTTTTCAAATGGGGGTCCTTAAAACAGTTATTTGTGCACTTCCCCCATTGCGTCTAAAAGTTGGAAAAGTAACACTGTATAGCCGAGGTAAAGATAATTGCCGAAAAAATATATAAAATTTATAGCCGCTATAAATTTTATTATTTTTTCGGCTATCAGATATAAATAGTTTTTACATGGACCAAAAGTGATAATAGCCTCTAAAGGTTAGACCGACCAAGGAATTGCTTTAACCCGTAACCGACCCGTCCAGCGCTCCTTTTCTTTTTTTTTTTTGTGAAAAAAATTATACTACAATTTCTCTCCCCAAAAAACGAGAAGGGATAGAGGAATTAGGGTGTAATTTTTGTTCCTACCCTCCCGTTTCATTTAGAATATGGGTTCTCCTCAACCAGGTAGTCATTTTTCTCTCTATTTGTATATTTCCTGTAGAAGTAATGATGGGTATAAGTATTCTAGGGCTTTATTTATCATCTTTAAACTGTCCATATTGTCATCCCGTCTCTTGGTTAGTTCCATCAATTTGTCCTGTGATTTTTGTGCTAGATGAGATGAGTTCTTGCTTTTTCTACTGAATATGGGTCTTATTGAGTTTGCAGGAATGGAAGCTGAGAAGGAGATTAATGATGATGAAGTTAAGAGTGTAATTGAAGTAATGGCAGCTAATGGGAAGTATTGGTATGCTTTTATTCTGCTGTAGAATGTTATTTCGTCCTAGTCGGCTAGTTCTAATTTGCAATCTGAGTTATGGTAACTCTTAATGGAAGAAGACGATTAGGATTTAGGACTGTCAGTGAGTTGCATCCTAAATGGGTGTTTAATGGGCTAAAGGCAAAGTACAGTCAGTTGAGCTGCAGCCAAAACCTTGTTTCATTGCCCTGCTAAAATTATGGCTACTTCTAATTAGTTTGAGCTAAGCCAAGCTCCATATGCTTGGTTTTATATGAATCCATGAGCCCAAGCAAGCTCAGTGCATTTTTAGCTAGAATTTCTTAGAGATGAAAGAATATATTAATATAACTGCTACCATATTGATATTTGCATTTCGTATACTATGAGTTTTGAAATTCCATTCTTTTACTTTTTCATTCAAGTTGTTCATGCCTTGACATTATCTTGTACTCTTGTAACTTTGCCTTTTCTTGTTTAGGAACTCAATAAAGTTGGAACATAAACTTACTTAGGAATATAGCCAGCTAGGTCTCAAAAATGTTAAATTCTTTTACCCGGGGCTAAAAAACTATACTGCAATATATACCTGGTTATATTGATTATTTTTGGCTAGTTATATGAAGTTATTATACGTTGTCCAAGTTGGTTGAAAGCTATTAAGCTGAGTGTTGAACTTCAAAGACTAGTTAAATTCTTGAGTTTGGTCTAAACCAAACTAGTGTTATAACTTGGATGTGCTTGAGCTTAATCTAATCTGTAAATATGACTGTATGAGCAGGCTATCTGCTTCAAACATTAGCTACTAACATAACAAGTCAATTAGGCTAGCAAACATGATAACATACAATCTCAAATCATGATGCTAGAGAAGCACCGGTGGAGACCATGTTTTCTACAGCAATGGAGGCTTATTGAGCTCACGAAGGTGCCAACGGATTTGGAGAATTGGGCCACGAATTTAAAATGCTTACACTAATTAGCCTTAGTCCAATTGAGACCCAAGAATCTAAAGAAATTGAAGTAGTCCAAGAATCCAATTAAGATTAGGATTTCTTTTCCTTAAAGGTTAGGATTTTTTAATTCTTGTTTTAGTAGAATTATATTTATAGTTCTAGTCAAATAGGATTGTTTGTTGGTATTCCATTCCTATTAGATTTTTTTTTTCTATTTTAATTGGAATAGGTTATTCTTGACCTTATTCTTCTTCTAGTTTAATTAGAATTAGTTTTCCTTAGCCTCATCAATTTTGCTCATTTTAAGGCCTATTTAAAGGGCTTTCTACACTGAAAAGAAACATTAGTTATTAGTTTTACTAAGCCCTTGCTTCAAAAACGTGATTTATCTTTTAGTTTATTCTTCTTCATTTATTCAACGCTTCTTGCAATCTTGCATGACAGGAACGAGTAGGTAAGTTTTTTTTTATCTTACATTCTTCTCACGTGAGTTCGAAGAACGTTTTCGCTAATTTTGTGAAAAACTTTAGCGGGGTACTTTTATTTTTCTCTTTTCTTTGTGCTTGAGAGATGCAAAACCTTCAAAGTACATCAAAACATCCGAAATTGGCCCTATTACAGCTTGGCATGGTAATCTTCTCATATTTATAAGCTATTGTATGCTCCATCATAGAGCTCAATTAGCAGCCTTAATGACATTATTGTCGTAAGCCCTCGGTTAATAGTAAACAAGATACCATGTCTCTTTTTGTTCTCTTTTATCTTGTTTCTGCCCCAACAGAGGTGGACCTACGGTAAGGGGTCACCGGACCCAATAAACCTCAGAATTTTTTTTGTGTATAAATGAATATGTATACATATATACCTTGAGATGTGTGGGATGTCCTGGGTTCGGATGTTGAATGCCTCTCCTTCCTTAAGGTTTTTTCAATTTTTAGCTGAACGAATAACTACAGCCCTTATTTATTTATTTATTTATTTACTATTAAATCTTTACTTTAGGTTCCCCCCACAACCAAACACACCAATCCCTTTTTTCTTTTGATTAAACCCCTCCTTTAAAAAGCCCCAAATCACTTCTCTTTTCGCTGGCAAAGTGCAAAACTTAGAATCCCTTCCCCCATTTCTCAAACACAACTTCATCTCTTACCTAACTCACGCCACCTGTAAGTCATCATCGGAAGTTCGCCGGCATCCGGCGAGACCCAACAACTACCGATGAAGTCCTCGCCTCCGTCTATATTGAAGATAGTGGTGCAACCATCATCTTCAAATCCTGGGTCCGCCTCTTTGCACTAATATATGTATATCTTGGATTGCAACCTTTGTTTAGTAGTATATTCTATTTGATATACTGGTGGAGTCCAAATAATAATTTCTTTAAGCTCAAATTGTAACCAAATCGAACATGCTGTCAGGAAGCGGCCATGGGCATGATGAGTTCCCTTGACCACCCCATGTATCATGTGCAGTTCACCATCCAAGTAGTGTTATTAATTTTTCGGTTCATTCGTCACTTTGATCAACTTAGTTTGCCCCACTTAATGACAATCTTTGTCTAGCTTATTAAAGAATTTTTTTGTTCTTCCCATCGCCCCTTTGCAAGGAGCATCTTTAAGGGTTTCTTTTCTCAACCTAGCTTACAATCAACTATCCATAGATCAGAGAAAAAGCTTAAGATATAGATCCAATTTAGGGTTTTATTTCACTATCTATAAATTTAAAACTTATTGAAGCATTTGCGAAAAGCTATTCCATGTGAAACTGTCTTTTCTACTTTTAGCTAGGGAAGTAAATATAGTAATCTAACCCAAGTCATACGGGCTACTCATACCCAATCATCACATTGAAGAAAGAAGAAAGAGTTGTCTTCTGATCCAAAGGAGATAAAGTATAAGAAAAAGAGTTGTCTTTGTTGTATTCTTGTCTATTGCATTATAGTTTGGGAAGTTCCGTGTCATGAATAATTTATCTTGTTTGTGTTTCGGCTCAGGCATGATTGGGACAAACTCAAGGGCATGCTGTCATTCCATCTTAAGCAGGTATGGGGAGGTATGCCAAGTTGTCAGCATATGGCAGCTTCTTAAAAGTGATGTTTCCAGTTTATACTGGTTGATATTTCTCGTAATGTGTATTAACTTTCTAACACACTTGAATTCTTTATTGAAGGTCCTGTCAGACTATCCAGAGGCAAAAATGACTACCGAACAGCAACAATCTTGTTTAGGAGAGAGCTTTCCCGAGTTGGTGAAAAGGTTGGATGATGGTATTTCCGCTGTCATTTGCCTTACCTATCTCTGTTGTTCTCCTTTGACATAACGGGCAGTTAGCATGGTTTAATTGTACCAATTCTATAAGATGACTCATAATATTTCATGATGATATCCTACAATGCATTCCTATATTGTCCTTTTTTGTGTCATTACTTGAAGCAAAAAGAAAATTCACATGCCGTAGAAGTGTAAGGCTCTTCTAAAATTGATTGTTCTGTTCTCAAAAGAACTTTATTGTTCTGTTTGTGTTGGGCAGCTGTATAACATGTGTTTGCATATTTGGTTGTTTTAAGTGTTTAGCTTGGGACTCGCTTCTTGATAGCATGTTAGTATAGATGCTTTAAGATGTGCTCTTTGGCAATATGGAGGGAATGTGATGTCAAAAAGATTGGTTACAACAACAAGAAGCCTGGTGTAATCCCACATGTGGGGTCAGGGGAGGGTAGTGTATACGCAGACCTTACCCCTACCTTGTGGAGGCAGAGAGGTGTTTCTGATAGACCCTCGGCTCGTCAAAAAGATAGGTTGAATTGAGAAAAAAGGTAGAAGTTTAGTAAGAGGGGCAAAATAATCCTCTTCTGGGTAGGTTGATGTGAAATGGTCAAACAAGTCTATTTGCATATTGGTACTTAGTCAAATTTTTATTTTTTAATCTCTTAGCATGTAGCATCTGAAATTCCTGATCTATCAAAAAAAAGCATCTGAAATTCCTGAGAAAGGCTAATAGCTTACCGCTTTACTTAAAAAGTTCCTGAGAAAAGCTTACCTCGTAATCTATATTTTGGATTGTGTGCCTGCTTCATGAACCACCATGTATTATGATGATATAGTTGCATCTAAAAGAATATTTCCCATATTTTCTTAACGGTGATCTTACTGTTAAAAGTATCTTTGCCTCCCCTTTTCTGCATTCCAGGAGCGGGTTATGGTTTGTCACGTGAAGAACATAAACAAAGAACAGTTTTCATATTCGTGTTGTTACTCTCTTCTCTGCTAGCAAGTCTCATGCATCTGTTTCAATTTCATAATTTCAAGAGTTTTCACTCATCTACTTATCTCTCGATTATGGTTATTAAGGTCGTCTGGTGCAACCCATTGGACTAGAAACCACTCACCTGAAAGTATTATAACTTGAAAAATGTAATCCTCAATCGCGTGAAAAGTAATTCTTTATAAATTACTAAATTTACCTGTCAAAAAAATGTTATTATTGCAAATCAGACTTATAAGTCGGAAGTTGAACCAAAGACCCACAAGTGTTGGTGCTTCAATGGTGTTTTCTCCAGGCTGGCTTTGTAACCAAGCTTTCAACATAATACCATGTTCACATTTGACTTTTAGTTTTGACTTCTTTGATGCTCGGCTGTTGCAGTTGAGATAAGCTCTTGTTTTCGTGGTTCATTACTCTGATTTTGATCTTTCCGACATCACCTTGTTACCTTGATTTTGCAGCTCTCAACAGCTTTGCTGAAGGCCCTCCATTTACGTTGCAAAGACTATGTGAGGTGTCACATTCTTTTTAAATATGAATATCAGATTGTTTTATATGTTGGTACTTCACTCCATCTGATTTTCCTTTCTTTAAATTTTAAAGCTTTGTTCTCCATTTCATGAAAAAAAATGTGTTTTTCCAGTATGGGAGTCGTCTTAAACAGCTTAGTGGGAACAAGCTCAATCTTAATATTTTTTTTGAGTGTATTTTGTATTATGTTGTCGCTGCTATTGCTGTCAATTAAACAATTGATATATTGGTTTTTCAATGTTACTAATCTTTTGAGTAATATTGAGCAGATTTTGTTGGATGCACGGAACATTTATTCTAAGCTGTCAAAGCTTGCGTTGGCTCTAGAAAAGGTTGGACTTCGATGTGAATTATGCCCTTATAGTGCTTTTAAAGTTTTACATCTTAAATCTCATTGATGTGGCATCTCGACATCTTTTAACCTCCAAATCTTGAATGCCAACTTTCTGGAGAAAACCTCTTAGTACTAAGTAGTGTAAGATGCTTTATTGCCGAGGGTCTATTGGAAACCTCTCTATCCTCGCAAGGTAGCGGTAAGGTCTGCGTACTCACTTCCCTCCCTAGACCCCACGGTGTGGGATAATACTGGGTATGTTGTTGTTGTTGCTGCTTTATTGAGCTTAGTCGTCACTTCCATCTCAGTTGGATCTGAGGTCCTTCATTTAAGGAGTTTTAGCAGGCTCTTATGCCAATTTTTCTTCTTTTCTTTTGAGAACTTGAACGAACAGAAAAAAGGAGAAAAGGTTTCCCTTTTTTTCTAACATATCTCAAGTTTAGTGTCTGAGGAAGTGCTAGCGGCCGAACAGGCTTCTTTTTCCCCCTGTAATGTAACTCTGTTATGACAGTTCTGGAGCATAATGAGTGCTTTACCTGTCTGCAGAATTTGCTAGTTACATCAACATTGACGGTCTCCAGTGACCCATTTGCATCTTCTAACATGCAAAATGCGACAGCACTAGATAGAGAAGAAACCAAGGGTGCCCCATATGCATCTTCTAACATGCAAAATGCAACAACACCAGATAGAGAAGAAACCAAGGGTGCCCCAATTCTATCTAATTCAGTGTCTAATGGAGTGGAACCTATAGCCAGTGCAGGTGATTCAGATGAAGTAATGGCTGAGGTAGAAGAGGCTGAAGTTGAGGATGTTATGACTATTGACATGGATACAATTGAAGCAATAGTTCGATCATCTGAAGCAGATACTACGCCTCCCAGTGATTCATAATGCTCTGTTTCTATGTAGTAATTGTTTTCACCTCTAGTACAGGAAGTCTGTAAAAGGTATATCATGCTTCGGTGAAATTAGAGCAAGTCCTGAGGAGGTGCCTAAAAGATCGATCGTGGTCGTGAATATATGTTGGACCAATATAATGTGTCTCGAACCTTATTTTTACCCCACGTAGGTCTATCTTGAGTGGGGAAAAACCCTGGTTGCTTTCGTCTTCGTTGAACTAACGAGTGTCTCTATAGCATTTCGAGAAATATACTGGGTGCGCCTCTTTTTTCCCCTGAATGATCATTTATTGTTGGGGCATTTGCATCTATACTCTGTTTGGGGTCACAATTGAAGTTATACCTACTTTGAACAAAATTTTGCAAGCCTATCCGCTTTAGGATCAACTTCAGATTTATCGGGTTTGAAGTTGCAATGCACTTACGGCCAATTAAGTCTAAAGTGCAAAAATTGCTCTTAAGATGCAATTAAGTCCAAATAGATTTGAAATGCAACAAATATTTTCATGCGCTTAAGGGTAAATACGTCTGAAGTAAAAAAAATTATATCTTAGATGCACTTAAAGACAAATACGTCTGAAGTGCGATCAATGTTTTTATGCATTTAAGGCCAACTAGGTCTGAAATGCTAATTGACTAGAAACAGCAACTTGTTCTTCGAATTTTAACATTCCAATACATGATTTAACACTTTAATCTACTCCAAATGAGCTCAAATTTGAAACATAATTTTCAAATATTATTAAGAATAAACCCTAATAATTTTTTTGTCAAAACAACAACAAATCTAACAAATCCATTTTACAATTAAGAAGAAGAAGAAGAAACTCTAAGCAGTAGTACAAAATAAAAATAAAATAAAGCGCCACAACAGCTCAACACTGTAAAACACCATAAACCACCTTAATACATGCTCACAAACACCATACAAGTTTACTATCACCTTTATTTTCACAAACAACATAAGGAGGAGGAGAAGGAGAAGGAGGAGGAGGCCTGAAGTTGTCTATACTTTGGATACTAGTTAAAAAAAATTTAAAAAGTGGGCACAAATTAAATAGGGGAGACCAAATAGGGTGTCCCGTGAAATTTTTACTTTATTGTTTATCCACAACGTTTGATTAGCAGGATGTTCGAATCATATTTCAAGTTGGAGAAAGTTATTTATTCTACTTGGAGGTGTTTATTAAGAGTACAGCCATGGCAATGACGTACAAAGGGGAGTTGATATTTGGATTATATTTATAGTAATAGTTGAAACTCGTTCCGGTGGTAATCTCAATAGAGACAAGTCGCCTTTCTCAATAAGTGGGATGAAAACTATGGGAAGCTAGATTTTTTTCAATAAAATAAAGAGTTTTTATAACGTCTTAAAAGGAAAACGTACCAGGAGAGCCAAACCTTATCTTACTAATCCTAACGAGGGTAAGATCAACATTTAACATTGCTAGTTGATTTTTTCCTATTTGCATCAATGTTGGTGGAAATAGTATATGGTAGCTGTGATGGTGGGACTCGGCAAAATAATTATGGTGCATGCAGGTTATAATTACTATGCACGCAAGATGGTTGAATATAATTGTCTCGGCGAGATAATTATGGTGCACGCTAGTTATATATTATCATGCACGCAGGTTGGTTTTACTTTTCACTGTGTAAAGCACCATTCACATAATCTTTCTTCCATGAGCAACATCACAGCTAATTCCTCTAATCCGTTCAAACGAATCCCTTTTGCGTCAATTTAGTGGCCCTTATTTTGCTTATCGAAGGTCAAATCCGCATTGCTTGGGATTTTACACATCGATTTCAATAATTTAGGAAGTATTATTAGAAAACAGTTTAGTTTCAACTTTGCTTTAAAAATTAATTTTTCCCTTCCAATTTGAACAATAGACATTCTCCCTCTCATATCTTAATTGACATTTTTTAATTCCTATTTTGCCCTCTAGATTATTC